AAAAAAAAAAAAAAAAGATAATATCTTTATAGGGCTCAAAAATTTAGAAGTTTTAAAAGGTATACAGTGAGAAATTCTTTCTCCCATTCTCTCAGTCTGCCCTCACAGATAAATACTATTTTTACTTCTTTAATAAGCCTTTCAGTGTTATATATACTTAAAGAAGCAAATAAGAATAGAGATTATTAGAATAGAACATTTTGTAAGAATATAGAAACACACTGAATAGGGAATATTAAATAAGCAGAAGGAATAATTTTCCTTCTATGACTTGGATTATTTCACCTCTCAGTTTCATGGTAGATTCTGGTCCCAAAGAAAAGAACCTGGTACAGTGACTTAAAATTAGCAAGGGAATTTAATTTTTGTCTCTCTTTTTCAACAGCCATCTGAAAAAGATTGAAAGAATATAAATAGAGGTAGTCTTTGTCACTTATAAATGACACTTTTTAAGTGGGTTACGTGGAATCCCTACCTTAAGCCTACATTTTGTCTTAAATGTCTTAAAAGAGCTGTTTGGAAACTTGTAGTGTTATATGGTGTCATGCATTTGCATTTGCTGTGTATAAAGTCTATCTTATAAGTCAGACGTTGATAAATATTTTTCTTTTTTCCCTTTTTTCTTTTTTGTTTTTATCATGTTAGTGTCTGTTACTTGCATTGCTTGGTTCAGTGAAGACAGACCATTTGCAGTGGGATATTTTGATGGAAAATTATTATTGGGGACAAAGGAACCACTTGAGAAAGGAGGAATTGTTATAATTGATGCACATAAGGTAAAAGCATCTTTATCAAATTATTGATTTCTGCTTTTTTACTGTAGTATTCCTTGATACTAGTGTATTTAAAATTTTTTACACCAATCACTTATGACTTAATATTCATTCTCATGTTATACAGAGTCTTTGAACCATATATATAAATGGAAAAGTCTATGTAAAAAGAACAGTCAAACCACAAAAGAATCAAAACCAAAACAGTGATATGTGACACCCTGAGAACCCCCCACTCCCATTGAGAGTGCCTCCCACTAATGTCAGCAGCTCCACCCATGAAGAATAATTCCTTTACCTTAAATAGAAGTTGCCAATTCAAATGTTTATAGAACCACCTAGACAAAGTAATTTAAGTGCATGAAACCAGGAGATGGAAGAGGGTTAAAGAAAAATCAGAAGAGCGTAGTATAGTGATCACAGCCATATAAACACAAAACATGTCCTAGATTCTTTTAAGTGTTTGCTATTTTGGTTGTGGGGTGCTTTTCTTTTTTAAAGTTCCTTCTTTTTTACAATATAATGATTACAAGTCAATAAAAATAACTCAATAAATGCAAATGCTAGCTGAGTATGGTGGTACACACCTATAGTCCAAGCTACTTAGGAGGCCGAGGTGGGAGAATCACTTGAGCCCAGGAATTTGAGACCAGCCTGGGCAACATAGCAAGACTCTCAAAATAAACAAAAAGCAAATGCTAATTAGAGGTAACATATATGTAGTATTCCTTTGGAGTCAATTTCATCATTTATTCATTCAGCTAACACTTACTGAGCTTTCACTCCAGTAAATATATACAGTGCAGATATATTAAAGGGTGAGTTGGGAATGATACAGCAGTATATTATGATGTACATGATATATGATTTCTAAATAATTGAATTATGGAAGTATTTATAAATTATTGATTTTAAAGTATTTGTGAAGGAAGTTTACTCTGATTTTTTTTTCCTCCTACTATTTTAAGGATACTCTTGTTAGTATGAAGTGGGACCCAACTGGTCATATTCTTATGACATGTGCTAAAGAAGAAAATGTGAAACTCTGGGGGCCTATATCAGGATGCTGGCGCTGTCTGCAATCACTCTGTCATCCATCTATTGTAAATGGCATCGCTTGGTGCAGCCTGCCAGGGAAAGGATCCAAGTTGCAGTTACTGATGGCTACGTATGTTGTAAATTTTTTTTTGTGTGTGTGTGTGTCTTAATTTTTATATTGTTATAGACTGTTATTTTGCATCAGATATGACTTCTCAGTAGTCTTAAATAGTTCATTGCCAGTTATTATTCTTATAATATGTAAGGCTATAATATTACCTCAGAGAAATAAAGAACAGTTATCTAGTGTGAAACCTGGTATGTAGATGTGATGTTGTTATAGTATCAGTCCCAGTTGTATTTCTCCTAGTATATCTACTGCAAATAAATTTTAAAAATATTGTGGTAGTTCTATCAGGCCTTAAGTGATTGCTGTCTTAATATTCTTTTATATCTGCATATTGATATATTTTGGTTTTTATGTGACAATTTTTTAAGTGGCTGTCAGAATGGCTTAGTGTGTGTTTGGCGCATTCCACAAGATACCACACAGACCAGCGTGACTAGTTCAGAAGGATGGTGGGATCAGGAATCAAATTGCCAGGTAATGTTCTGGTGTTTTTGAAGACCTCATCTGAAACCATAGGTAGAATATATCATCAAAATAATTTTTCCCTAATTACTAACTTACTCATCATAACTCAAAGGGCACCCAATAGGGAAATGTAAATGTCATAATTGTGATACTTTTTGTGGTCTTGAACTAGGTCAGAGGTAGCATAAAATTGCTTGATAAGGTGAGATATTCAGTACATACTAAGTGGTGGTTATTATAATGGTAGTGGGTATAATCATTGCTACAGATTACATAGCATTGTATCTGTCTATAATATAGACCAGTCCTAACTTAATTCATTGGTGTAATAAAATAGGAACACTGTGGGAGTATCTCCATTCCTACTTTTGCCAAAATTCCACCTATGAAGAATGATTCCTTTATCTTTTAAAAAAAAAAAAAAAAGTTACAAATTTAGGTACTTACAGAGCCATCTAGGCAACTAGCAAATTCTTCAATCTGGAAGTTGGAAGGTATGGAAGGGGTTAAAAAACAAAACTAGAAAAAGCCAAGAAGCACACATGCTTCTTACAAAGGCCAACAGCTGCTCCAGAGCTGGTTGTCGACATCTAGAATTGAGAGCCTGTTGCTACCAGATTGACTGATTTTTTTTTTTAATAGAAGCCAAAAATCCAGTGTTTTAATTAAATCTCCCAATATTACACATTAGCACCTCAACTTAAAATTTCATAAAACACTGAGTGGCTAATCAAATCACATCTCTGAGCTACCAGTTTGGAACCTCTGTCCCTCTCCCTTTTGTTGATGATAGCCTTTGAAGAAATAAACTTTACATCATCCTTGGGTGAATGAGTACATCTGGTTTTATGGTGTCATAACTAAAAGGAGGAAGGAGTTTAAGGGCAGAGAGAAAGGGATGAAGAGGGAGGGAAGGGGTGGTCAGTTCACTAAAGGGAGAATATCACAGAATATCATAAAAGTGGAGGCAGGAACACTACAGATAAACCTGGTTTGCTCTTTGTGCAAGAGAGTAGACTTATGGACAGGCCTTGCCAATCCCCTTCTGCAACCTGCAGAGCAAATATGTAGATTATATATCAAGTGATAGAACCATCAGCCAACAAAAAGAGAATTATTCATATTGTCAGCGTGTACTATAAAAATGAAAATTATATAAAGCTAAAATTTAAAAATTAAAACACTGGTTAAAAAGTAGAAGTCAGAATTTTCCTGTATCCAAGGGATAACTGGAACTTTGAAATGTAGGCATTTTTGCTAGTTTGAAGAACAGAAATATATCCAAAAAAATGAAACTCAACTTCAGGAAAGGAGAACCTGATTGATATTTTATTATTTATTTAGTCAGCCTAATTAACCTTATGAGAGAAGTTGTTACCCCACCCATATATATTTAATATATATGTTAAAAATAATGAATTGCAGGGTGGATATAGGAAATCAGCAGGAGTCAAGTGTATTTATCAGCTGCGGGGACACATCACTCCTGTTCGGACTGTTACCTTTAGTTCCGATGGATTGGCCCTGGTGTCTGGTGGACTAGGTGGACTCATGAACATTTGGTCTTTAAGGGTAAGAGCATAGATTTTATTTTTATGTTAAGGAATTTTGTACATTAACTTAAATACATGTGATAAAAATTAACTAATCGCAAAAATACTTCATGTAATCGTATCTAGAATACTGAAGAAGCTCCTTTCAGAATCCAACACCCTTTAATTTTTCTTACCGAAAATAAGTATTTTTAGAGTCATCTAGGCCTAGAAAATTGGGTAGTGGGTACACAATTGAATATTGCTGAATTTAGATGAAGTATAGATTTTAGAATATATTTTTGTGATTATATAGTATAAATTTAAATGTCAGTGATGCCTAAAGTTAAGTAATAAGCATTGATAATTATATCTCATTTTAGGATGGCTCTGTCTTGCAAACTGTTGTGATAGGTTCTGGAGCTATTCAGACCACAGTGTGGATTCCAGAAGTTGGGGTAGCTGCTTGCTCAAATAGATCAAAGGTAAAATTATGGTTATATCAAATCATGAAGTATAAGTCTGTAAGGAACTTTAGATATCATAATCTAAGTACTTTATTCTGTGGAGGAGAAACTTGATATCAAGAGGGATTATTACTTTTCTAAGATAATTTACAACTATTTAGTGGCAGAAGGAGAATTAGAACCCAGGTATCCTCATTTATAGTCTAGAACTTTTTATTTTTACTATACCCCTTACTTTGGTGAAAGTGCTTAAGTATTGAGTAATTTCATTTCCATGGGGCAAGTTATAAAGTAGATTTTGACTTTCTGCCCTGAGTTTTCATGTAGCACTAAGCTGTCTCAGAATATACCTTGAAAAGAGCTATTACAAAGACATTTAACTTAAGTATAATTTATCTTGGCTTTCAAATTTAATATTCTAGGCTATGTGTGGTAGCTAATGCTTGTAATCCTAGCACTTTAGAAGACTGAGGCAGGAGGACTATGTGAGGCTAGGTGTTTGAGACTAGCCTGGACAACATAGCAAGATACCTCGTCTACAAAAAATTAAAAAGTTAGCCAGGAGTGGTGACATACACCTCTAATCCTATAGCTACTTGGGAAACAGAGGCAGGAAGATCTCTTGAGCCCAGGAGTTTGAGGCTATAGTGAATTAAGATGGCACCACTGTATTCCAGCTGGGTGATAAAGTGAAACCCTATCTCTTAAAAGAAAAAAGAAAATCTAGTAAAAACACTTAACTGCCCTGCTTATGAAGTAATTCTAAGATATGACATTATCTTCTATAGCAGAGCCACTTTGATTTACATTTTATGTGGTTAAGTGATGTTAAAATAAGCTATAAACCTGCATGTAGTCCTACTGAAAGTAAAATACAGAATCGGACCTTAGGCAGAAGTGGCCTCTGTAGAATAAACCACAGTGCTGCCTCTTTTGCAGCTACATCCCTCTAGACTTTTGAAGTATATTAGATACCTTATCCTACAAGTCCTGTGAAATAGCTAATAATTGACATGCTTTTCTTAAGAAGAATGAGCTAGTTCAAGATTTTTCATAAATTTTGTGATTCTTATTCATTTTTACTTAGTCAAAATTTAGGATGCTTTAAAGTTCCAGAGGCATTAAAAATAGAGTTTGGAGGTATAAAATGTCCAAAAACCAAAAATGTTTAATACAATTACTACAAGAAATTTCTCAAATTGAATGGTGATATATTATCTTTTATTTAAGCAAATTCATGTGGTATAATTTATTTTCAACCAGGATGTCTTGGTTGTGAATTGTACAGCAGAATGGGCTGCCGCCAATCACGTTTTAGCAACCTGTAGAACAGCACTGAAACAACAAGGTGTTCTGGGATTGAACATGGCTCCCTGCATGAGAGCGTTTCTGGAGCGGTTGCCTATGATGCTTCAGGAGCAGTATGCCTATGAAAAGGTAGTTCATCACACTTACTCCTTGAGATCCCACAGATACCTGGTGCTTTGTAACTTGAATTTATCCCTTATGGTTATGAAGGTTATGAAAATATGTGGGGCTGTTTGGGCAGAATCAAATGAAGATATCATGCCTAAACTTATCCTAAGCCTATTATTACTTTGTTTTCACCAGATTAAAAAAAATTTATACCATTCTTTTTTAGATTAGTCACTACAAAACTTCTTAAGATACCTATGCCTCGGAGTATCATCTTTCCCTTTCTGAACCACATATCTGTTTTTTTGTTGTTTTGCCATCCCAAAGATGGGGAGTGGGGATGGATATGAGTACCAGAGTGAACATCTTCTTCACTTACTAGGTCAATCTTTATGGAAAGTCTAGTGGAAGAGCTACATTGAACTGAGTAGAGTAATTAAATACTGGAATAAGGAATTGTAGAATTTGGACTTGTTGTTCAGGCAGTGAAGTCACAGTGTCCCTCAACAGTCACATGTGCTGCCCTAGGCAGAGTTCTTTGGAGTTTTTTTTCCTCCTTCTTTTTTCTTTGCCAAGTTACCTTAATATAATCAAATGTTAGCACACCCAGTTAATTTCACTGATGTATTTGCCCTGGTTTTCTTTTTGAATCACTCAGTCTTTCACAGAGTTGCTTTACCATGACTAGGGAATGGTATGGAAAAAGGGAGATTTTTCCTTTGATGGCTATCCCGGCTCTTCTTGGTAAAGGAAGAAATATGAAAGGGAGCAAATTTTCATGGTTTAGTTATCTGGGTTTTCCTTCCAATTAAGAAAACCTATAATGAAGCTACATTAAATGCAGTATGATATCTTGGATTGGATCCTGGAATGGAAAGTGAATATTAGTGAGAAAATTGGGGAAAACTAAATGAAGGTCTGTGGTTTAGTTAATATTGTATTTATGTTAGTTTCTTAGTTTTGATAATGGTACCAGTATTATGTAAGATGTTAATGTTAGGTAAAGTTGGGTGAAGGGTATATAGAAATTCTCTATACTGTCTCTGCAACTCTCTGCAAATCTAAAATTATTTCAAAGCTCAAACTTAAAAAATAGTAACCTTAAGAAAATGATTATAGGCTTGCAGAATGCAGGAGGTTAATTTAGAACCTTTTACATGGACTTTGAGTATAACATTCTTATATTTTCTTTTAGCCTCATGTGGTTTGTGGTGACCAGCTTGTTCACAGCCCCTATATGCAATGTCTGGCTTCCCTTGCTGTGGGACTTCATCTAGATCAGCTATTATGTAACCCTCCAGTGCCACCACACCACCAGAACTGTCTCCCTGACCCTGCATCCTGGAATCCAAATGAGTGGGCATGGTTAGAATGTTTCTCAACTACCATTAAAGCTGCTGAAGCCCTGACCAATGGAGCACAGTTTCCAGAATCTTTTACTGTTCCAGATCTAGAGCCTGTTCCAGAGGATGAACTTGTATTCCTAATGGTGAATATAATATGAGCTGTTATTTACAGCTGACATTGTATCATGGGTGTTGGATGTGTAGCAGACCCTTAATATGCATTTACTATCTTGAATGGGTTCAGGGGTCCTCAGACTTTTTAAACAGGGGGCCAGTTCACTGTCCCTCAGACCGTTGGAGGGCTGGACTGCGGGCCCCGGGACGAGTCGGTTGCTAAGCAGGACAGGCAGCAGCAGCAAAAACACCCCGTGGGCCAGATAAATGTTCTCAGCGGGCCACATGTGGCCCGCAGGCTGTAGTTTAAGGACACCTGCTTTAGATAAACTTAAAATGTTTTTCCTTCAGATACTCACTTTTAGTCTGATAGCAGGCTTCTGTGGTGACAGAGATTGATAATATGAGAACTGTGGAGCTCTTGTAAGTCTACAAGAGGTAGTCAATGACATAGTCTCACATTTTCTCATTTCCCTTTGCCTGGTTAGTGCTTTATTTGTATATATTTTAAAGATATTTTCCAGGTCATCTTATGAGGTTTATGCTACATAAAGATTCTAATTTATTTGGCACTTCAATCATGTTTTTAATCAGCATCAAATAAGAGTATGGAAGAGCATTCCAATTATGATTTCTTTCTGATTGTATTTGCAAGTGTCTAGCTGTAGAAACTGTGATGTAAATAAAATGTCTTTATAGTAGGGGCTCAGTGCCCATAGCACAGTGGTTACGGCACCAGCCACATACACCAGGGCTGACGGGTTCAAACATGGCCCAGGCCTGCCAAACAACAACAAATAGCCAGGTGTATGGCGGGCACCTATAGTCCCAGCTACTTGGGAGGCTGAAGCAAGAGAATTGCTTAAGTCCAAGAGTTGGAGGTTGCTGTGAGCTGTGACACCACAGCACTGTACTAAGGACGACATAGTGAGACCGTCTCAAAAAGAAAAAAAAAGTCTTTGTAGATAGGAGAGGCTAGCACCTGATCTGATAATCCCTTTTTGTACTTAAAATTTACTTATACAGGCTCGGCGCCTGTGGCTCAAGCGGCTAAGGCGCCAGCCACATACACCTAAGGTGGCGGGTTCGAATCCCCAGCCCGGGCCC